AGTTGTTGAAAATCCAAGCCTTCAGTTCTGCACAAAAGATACACCTGAGGGTTTCATGCCCCCACTTCCTGTAGCCACCTGCTGTGCAAATGTCCTGCGGCACCTCCCAGGGCTTCCCATCTCTTCTCACCCTTTCTTGCAGATTGTCAGTGATTATGGCAAAGACCCCATCCTGACAGACATACTAAAGGCAATGGACATCTTCATAGAGCTCGTCACAAACCCTGATGGGTTTGCTTTTACCCACAGCATGGTGAGGGCACCTGGGGAGAATGGAAGCCCTAGGGGGATGGAGAAAAGGTCACTGTGCTATGGGAACCAGCCCCTTCAGGGCTGCTTTGCAGAAAGCCTCACCACAGGCAGGTGGACTGTTCTGATCCTGCATTGAAGCATCTTGCCCTCTGACCTCTTTCTTGCTGCCCAGGGAAGGCCACTATTGGCAGCCTGTGCCCAGGCCTCTCCCCAGACCCCAACTTCAACTACACAGTATCTGAGCTGCAGACTTGGTCCAGCCCCATGCCAGCCCTATCCTGTCCTGGCAATTCCTTCCCTTTGCTCCTCCCTGCCCCACCAGGCTCCCCCACCCCCACAGGCCAGGATATCAGAGGCTCCCATCCCTGGGAATGGGCCCAGTGAATGAGATCACCTGACCTGGGCTTTCCCAGAACCGCTTATGGCGGAAGAACAAGTCCATCAGACCCGGAACCTTCTGCATTGGTGTGGATCTCAACCGGAATTGGAAGTCAGGCTTCGGAGGTATGGCAATCTGCTGTCCTGGGGCAGGGCTGGAAAAGAGGTGTTGGTCTGCGGCAGGTTCTCCAACTCAGATCACGTTAACCCAACTTGGGAGGCACGGGATAATGTAATCAGCTAATATGCATGAGTCACCGCCAGGGACAGGCAAGCACACGCCTCAGACGGGCTGTGGGCATGGGGAGAGGTTGCGTGTGTGTGTGTTGAATGTACACATATGCCAAGCCTTCATGGGAAACATTAAAGCGACCCCTAGCTCCTGAAATGAGGACTAACTGTATAGATTAATTCCTAAATATGGTGACTCGCGCCTGTAATCCCAGCACTTTGGGAGGCTGAGGTGGGCGGATCCCAAGGTCAAGAGATCAAGACCATCCTGGCCAACATGGTGAAACACGGTTTCTACTAAAATACAAGCATTAGCTGGGTGTGGTGATGCCCGTCTGTAGTCCCAGCTACTTGGGAGACTGAGGCAGGAGAATTGCTCAAACCCAGAGGGCGGAGGTTGCAGTGAGCTGAGATTGTACCATTGCACTCCAGCCTGAGTGACAGAGAGACTCTGTCTCAAAACAAAAAAATCCTAAATATGGCAGAGAAAGGTTTAAAGGAGGTACAAAGTAGTCTTACTTGTTATTCAAAATCCAGAGTTTATGGTGCCCCCAAAATATTCCTAGCCCTGCCCTGAAGGGAGCACAACACAAAGAAAAGCCTCTGAACTCATTCCCTGAGACCTAGGACCTGAACTCTGCCCTTTGGGGAGGCCAGGGCAATAGTTTCAACTATCTAGTAGAATGAACCACTTTTTTTCCTCCCCTCTCCTCCCCTCCCCTCCCCTCCCCTCCCCTTCCCTCCCTTCTTTCCTTTCCTTTCCTTCCTTTCTTCTTTCTCTTTTTTTTTTCTTTCTTTCTTTCTTCTTTCTTTTTCTTTCTTTCTTCTTTCTTTCTTTTTCTTCTTTCTTTCTTTCTTTTTTGACTAGGTCTTGCTCTGTTACCCAGGCTAGAGTGCAGTGGTGTGATCATGGCTCACTGCAGCCTCAACTTCCTGGGCTCAGGTGATCCTCCCACCTCAGCCTCCCAAGTAGCCGGGACCACACGTGCATACCACCACACCTGGCTAATTTTTTGTGGCGGTAGGGGGACAGAGTCTTTCTCTGTTGCTCAGGCAGGAGTGCAGCGGTACAATCTTGGCTCACTGCAACTTTTGCCTCCTGAGTTCAAGCAATTCTCCTGTCTCAGCCTCCTGAGTAGCTGGGATTGCAGGCGCCCACCACCATACTTGGCTAATTTTTGTATTTTTAGTAGAGACAGGGTTTATAGGGTTTCCCCATATTGATTAGGTTGGTCTCAAACTCCTGATCTCAGGTCATCCACCTGCCTCAGCCTCCCAAAGTGCTGGGATACAGGCGTGAGCCACCATGCCCAGGCAATTTTTGTATTTTTAAAAAAGTGTGTAGAGACAAGGTTTCGCCATGTTTCCTGGGTTGATCTTGAACTCTTGGGCTCAAGTGAATCACCTGCCTTGGCTTCCCAAAGTGCTGAGATTATAGGCATGAGCCACCGTACCCAGCCTCAAGACGATTCTTTATCATCAAGGCTGGCCTGAGCCTGGTTTTTATTTTATTTATTTATTTTTTTATTTTTTATTTTTTGACATGACTTTATGACCCTGGCACATATCTGCAGAGCTGTCTGATTCCAGTGAGAGGGAGGGGGCAGCTTTCTCCTGAGTTCCTTGGTGTTCTTCTCTGATAATCTCCATTACCATGAGAGGGGCACGGGGATTGGGAAATTGAGGCCTCCAGAAAGCTCAGAGACAGGTACATGGACCCTGGAAATACAGCAATTTGATGGGCAGGACAATTTGATGGGTCCAGTCATGACAGAGTCTCCAGAACAGACACAGCCTTGGCCCCCACACATGGCATTTGCACTCCATAGGGGACTGAGGGTTTGGCTTCACAGGGGACAGTGTCATTGCTGTTGATAATCAGACCTATAGGCTGGTGTCCAAACCAGTGAGATAGAACATTTCAGATCTGGATGCCCACTGCTTTGAAAATCTGGCTTCTTGGGGTCTGTTCTCATTGCAAAATTGGCCAGGCATGGTGACTAACACCTGTAATCCCAGCACTTTGGGAGGCCGAGGAGGGTAGATCACAAGGTCAGGAGATTGAGACCATCCTGGCTAACACAGTGAAACCTCGTCTCTACTAAATATAGAAAAATTAGATGGACGTGCTGGTGCATGACAGCTACTGGGGAGGCTGAGGCAGGAGAATCTCTTGAACCAGGGAGTTGGAGGTTGGTGTGAGCCGAGATTGCACCATTGCACTCCAGCCTGGTAACAGAGTGAGACTCTGTCTCAAAAAAGAAAAAAGAAAAAAAAAAAAAAAAATCAAGCTGGCCCCAAAGCACTGAGAGTGAGGCCCCTAGCTCACAGTGTGGGGGTTGTAACTGCTTGTGTAAGGGAACAAGACCATGCAAAATTAGGCATTTCCACCTCCAAATGAACAGACGCTTGCCCGGGTGGGTATCCAGTGGCCCCTCAGCACTAACTGGAGTGAGTACTGAGTAACCATGGACCCCATGCTAGGCTGGCTGGGAGAAAGATAAATTGCTTCTTAAAGGAAATAACTTCTGCGGGTCTCACCACAGGAAAAAAAATCCATATACACACAATGTACAAAACAATTACAGAAAAAAAGCCCAGAGGGGGCAAAAAGCTCCCATAATCCCACCACTCAAAGATCACTGCTTTTAATAATTTACCATGTCCTTCCAGAGATTTCCCCTTGCTACAAATTACATTTTTAGAGAAGGAAAAATAAATAGCTAATGAATCCATTAGCAGGTACTTGTGAAACAGGCAGGCTCAGAGGACCTTGACTTCCAACGTCAGAGACGCAGGCAGCTAATTCCCATTTGGCCAGGGGAAGATTAGTTTATTCTGCTTAGCTCAAACCAGAACTAATGGCCTGAAGTGTTTCTCCATATTTGGGCAAAGCCACCTGGTCGTTGGCAGGGGAACGGCTTTCTGTACGTGGGCTGCAAAAGCAGACAAAGCCTTCAACCTCCCCCACTCTGCGCATCTGTTGCTGTTTGTCATTCATCAAGTGGAGCAGGTGCAGGGGCTCCCGACAGACACAACAAACCAGGCCGCTGTTATCTGGGCTGATTCCATCCTGGGGGCTGCCTTTCACCCCCTTGCTCTGCAGGCACATCCCCTACTAACCAGGGTCCCCACTCTAGGTGAGGACTGCTAAGCTGAGAGGGGGTATGCTCCCTGGGCCTCCCTGGGGTCAGCAAGAGTGTATCTGAGTTGGTGACTCAGGCTGGACAATATTGTTTATGGTTTTGTTGCTGCCTTTATTGAATGGCTGTGTAATAAGAAATCTGTAGACCATCCCTCCCACCCATGCCTGGCCTCCGGTGCATTCTTGAAGAGGACTCGTGGGCTGCATTCCTAGAGTATCATCTGAAGTGGTCCATGGGGCAGCCCCCAGCCCGAGGAGTCAAGAGGAATGCTATGGCCTCCTCAGGAGGCTTCAGAAGTTCAGGTGATCCCTGATCTCTAAACGGTGCCACCATTCCAGGGAAGAGGAGAGAGAGGAGAAACTGGGACGACTCCTTCCAAGTTAGCCTACCAAGTCTTGAACAGCTCAGTGCAGCCCAACCCTCTCCTTGGGAATAAGGGAAAACAGAAGGAGTGGAAGAGGAAGAAAAGAGATGGGGCAAGGGCAGAGAGTCTAGGAGGAGATGGAAACAAATGAAATTTGGGAAAAGAATAAAAACCCCACTCCTCTTTGTTCTCTCCCTCATCTTAAATCCCCAAGAATTTTCAAAGACGTCTTTGCACCTCTGGCTCCCAGGGCAGCCTCGGGCAACTATGGGGAACTATTCTCCCATATTGGTTTCCTGTATCCCCAGACCCCAAGTTCGTGGCCATGGCTGTGGCAAATCCTGAGCTGACACCAAGTCTGAGCCTTCAACTGACGGCAAATCCAGGAAGGGTCAGCCTAAAGACGCTGCTGCTGAGGAGGGGAAGCCGGGGTTGGGACGGAGATTTAGAGTTTCCTCTGGATGCAACTTCTGAGCCAGGCCAACCTTCCTAAAGGAACCACAGGACAAGCTGAGGGGGGCTACCTGCAGGGCTTCAGAACTGTGGGTTATGGTGCAGCTGCAGTCTCTGACATATTAGACTAGAGGATGCAGCAGCAACAAACACCCCTCCCGATCTCAGTGGCTTACACAGTAAGCTTGTCTTCCATGCGCACAAGTCCGGTGTGAATAGGTGACTCTTCTTAGCAGCCTTCTTCCAGCACTGAGAGAGGGATCCAGAAGCTGCTTCTATCTAGAATTTTTTTTTGCTTCCAGCCACACAGAAAAGAGCATGGAGAAGTCACACTTGCTCTGAACAATCTCAACCCGGAAGTGCCACGTCATTCCTGCTCACTTTTTCATTGGTCAGAGTAGTCACATGACTTCAATCATACTGCAAAGGAGGCTGGGAAATGTAGGGGAACACATTGTTATTTTGGGAACATCATACCTGGGGATTCGACTCTTTGGGTGGCTTTCTTTTACTTCCAGGAAATGGTTCTAACAGCAAACCCTGCTCAGAGACTTATCACGGGCCCTTTCCTCAATCGGAGCCGGAGGTGGCTGCCATAGTGAAGTTCATCACAGCCCATGGGAACTTCAAGGCTCTTATCTCCATCCACAGCTACTCTCAAATGCTCATGTACCCTTATGGCCGATCGCTGGAGCCCGTTTCAAATCAGAGGGAGTTGGTGAGACTTGCTGCTTAGGGCTTGTGGAGAGGAGATTCCTTCTTGGGAAAATATGTATCTGTCAGACTCCCAAAGGGCTCAGATTGTTCCTCTAAAAGCAAGGGTCTAGACCTATAGGCCCTGTGGTGTGGGGCCGGATGGGGGGAGCTTCCTGTTCCCATGTGTGATCAAATTCAAAGCTGGAGGTGCTGTGTTCCCTTCTCACAAGGGCCCCCTGCACCTTCAACTTCCAGGACTCCTAAATCTATGCTTCTCACCAGCTGGTGAGGGTGGCGAGTGTGTGGGAGCCACGGGGAGCCTCCACCTCTCACCCTGCCAATGTCGTCTTGCAGTACAGTCTTGCCAAGGATGCGGTGAAGGCCTTGTTTGAGGTCCACAGGACCGAGTACATTTTTGGCAGCATCAGCACCACCCTCTGTGAGTGAACCTCTCCTGGCCCTGCTTCAGACACCACATCCACCTGGGGTTGGCCGCAGGGCAGTACCATGGATCTAGTTGGGCTGACCCAAAGCTGCTTCCCACACTGGGTAGGAGGGTGAACAGTGGTACCCACGCAGCTGTTTCTTGGCAGCTTTTGTGCACAGCTCCCAGTGCCTGGCTTACTGCAAGTTCCTAAGCCTGGTGGGCAGGCGTCGACAATGGGCTGGGTGCACGGCTGTGATCCGGGTTGAGGCCTGGGCAGGAAGCCTGGTGTGGTCTGGGGTGGGTGAGGGTTTGGCTCCCAGAGTCCACTTTCCACTTAGGATGCCTCTGTACCTTGTGGCCACATCCCCTTCTTCTTTTTGGGGGCACATTTTAGAACTTTTGTGTCTAGATGTGGCCAGTGGCATCACCGTCGACTGGGCCTATGACAGTGGCATCAAGTACGCCTTCAGCTTTGAGCTTCGGGATACTGGGCACTATGGCTTCCTGCTGCCGGCCACACAGATCATCCCCACAGCTCAGGAGACATGGATGGCGATTCGGACCGTCATGGAGCACACCCTGACTCACCCCTACTAGCAGCACAACCGAGGGCAGAGCAGGAGGCTCCATCCTTCTCCCCAAGGTCTGCGGCTCCTCCCAAAACCCATGTTATGCGCCCCCGACCTGGTACCCTCAATCTGGATCTCTTAGAAAGTAAATACAAATTTGAACAGGCTTCACTGCCTCTCGTGTTGGCTACGATCCCTATGGCCTCAGCACTGACCAGGGGACAGGAGAGCTGCTTCTCATTCGCCAGGGGAGGCTGAAATGCAGGGGAAGCCTCTTCACTCCTCATGCTGCCTTCAGGAAAATTAGGGTGTAGAGGCTGAACCTTTTCTCCTCTTGTCAGGGCCTGAAACAGAGAAACCAGCCTGGGAGCTACTCAGGACACAGCGTCCCAGCATATTTACATTTTAAGATGGCCTCGGAGGGGACAGTGTTTGCTCTGAAGGAGAGCATTTCTGATGGAAAGGTGGGCCCAAACAGGCAGCCTTCACCTTGGTCTGCTTTACTTTCCATGTGGGGAAGGAGCAGGGACACATTTCGGAGGTTACCAGTCACCCCTCAACCCAACGTGAAGTTATTGTCTTGTGACCTGCTCCCCTCAGGTGTCCTCAAAGGTCTCTTGGTCTTGGGAACACAGGGTCAGAGCCAGTTGGAGCCAGCACAGCAAAGCACGACAAAAGAAGAGCTTCTCCTCATCCTCGTCATCACTGACACCATCCTGGTTATCATCTCTGAGCAGGGTTAAGCAGGCACTTCCCCAAGAGAGTTCAAGGGGCACTCTTGTGAGATATGAATGAAGTGCCTTCCCCCAGCCCCAGGCTTCCTTGTACCTTTCGCCTCTTCATTCCGCCTGCTGCCTTCTGGGAAATGGTGGGACAGGCAGGCTGTACCGGGCAGCAGCGATAGCAGAGCTGTTTGCTCTGCCCACAGGAAGGCTGATACCCCCTAGAAACAGGAAAAGCCAAATGAGGTTGCATAAGTGTGAGGCGGAAACATCAGTCTTGAGAGCAAGACTTGCATTTGCAAGAGCCAGGCTGGTGTGTGTGTTTGTGTGTGTGTGTGTGTGTGTGTAAAACTGGATGGCCACGAGCTGACACCTGGAGCATACAGAGACAGGGAAGAAAACAGAGTGAAACCAAAATATTTGTGTAGAAGGCATAAAAATTAGAATCACAGACTCAACTGTGTAAAGGTATAACTTGCCTTATTTATCTCTCGCTTAGATTAACTTAGCCTCCCTTTCCATTCAGCCTGTGAAGGGAGACAGTGCTTGGGCCAGTTGATAGAAGAAGGGGATGGGAGATGATTAAAACCCCAAGTAAGGCTCATATACACTATGGCGTCTAAGCAGCAAATGACTAATGGCTGAAGAAGGGAACAAGACAGAGGATTAGACGCAGCCACAGGGGCCGAGCGTGTCTCAGTGGTGCAGCTGTGCAGAACTCCGAACAAGAAACAAGGTTGGCGGGTGAGGAGGCCTAGGACAGAGGCCAGAAGGCCACGCCTGGGGCCGTGCGGACAGCAGCCGTGGTGGCACGGGGGCGTTGGCTGGGCATGCAGATGGCCAGGGCCAGCTGTGCCACACAGAAGCCCAGAGGAAGTGAGGGTAATTAACCCGTGAAGAACCCAGGTCATCTTCAGGGGAACAGCCACAGCAGTGGAGGAGGAGAAAATCTTGATTCTGGCTGAAGTTTCCCACAAGAGACTTTTTTTTAAGCTGGAATCGGTCTGAGTGAGCTAGAATTTCCAACCCAAAGTTTTCTGCTGTTGGTGGAAATTCAAGGTCATGGGCTAAGTTAATATAAGCTAGAGGTAAATAAAGCAAGTTACACCTTTGCCCAGTGGAGTCTGTGATTATAACTTTTATGCCCGCTATACAAATAGTTTTTTCATCCTTTTGGGGAGGGTATTCCTGGTACTAATAAGCTCATTTTTTAGATAAGGAAAGAAGATGTGGAGACGTTTTAGAAGCCATACAAGAGAAAATTGTTGAGAAAGATTTGAACTTGGGTTTGTCGAACTCTGAAACTGCTATGTCACTGTTTGTCCAAGGGTGGGGGTGGCCCAACTGCAGCAGAATCCATGGAGACTTGTTTGAAAGGAAGGGATTTGGTTCAATTTCCAGGCTGAGTTAGAATGTCTGGGGGTGGACCCCCCAAATCTGCATTTTTACCAACTGCCCATGGAGTTCTGAGGGATCTTCAAATACCGCCACTGATCCCTGTTCCCCTGCCTCCCAGGAAGAATATATGCAAGTCTGCCAGGGGGAGTTGAGCTTCGGGTCCCCCCTCTGCCATTGTCCACCAGGGCTAGAGGTGGCTGCCACAGGGGGAGGCCAGCATGCTCTAGAGTATTTCCTGGGGGCTGCCTTGGTGCTAGCCTTAAGCAGTGTGATCTGCAGACCACAGGCATCACATCACCTGGGAGCTTAACCCATCCCTACTAAATCCAAGTCTCTGTGGGGTGGGGCCTAGGAGATCCGCAGGCAGGAAGACCAAGAGGGAGACAAATGAGCCAGCCGAGGTGGTGGGTCCAGAGACTTCACCTTACACCATCACCATATTTGTTGAAACTGTGTCATGTGGTCACGCCCAGCTGCAAGGGAGGCTGGGAAATTGCTTTATAGCTGGGCACATTGCATCCCCAAATTAAATCAGAGTTCTGTGGGCAGGGAGGAAAGGAAGACCGGGTATTTGGAAGGAGCCAGAAAAGTCTGCAGCAGCTTCTCTGAGGGGCAGGGAGGATCTGAAGAGGCCTCAGAGCCCGTTTCTTGTTTATCGTGGTGATGGACTTAATCCGAAAGCCATAGAATTTTCCAGATGTTTTAGTCCAGCCCGCTGATTTTGCAGTTATGAAGACAGGGGCCTCTGGATCATGAGATTTGCGCAAGGCCCCACGTGAATTTAACAGCCGGGAGAAGACTAAAGCCGGGGGCTGCTCTTGTCCCAGCCCCACTGCGGCTTCCTTCCCCCATAGACTGAGGGCCCACACTCTGGGTCTCCTCAGCAAGCCCAGAGAGATGATGGCAGCGGCTTAAGTTTATCGAATAAAAGTTCAAGACATAGACATGCAAGTTTTAGAGCTGCTACAGAAGAATCTTCTCCTTTTCACAAACCCTGAACGTTCTCCCACCCATTTTCTGAGGTATATAATGCTGAACAGCAGCTCCGTTTTTCAACATTCTGCTGGGTGGTGTTTTTTTCTTTCTTTTTCCAACAAACTGCTCTTTTTAGGTATGTTTTTTCATCCTTTACACCAGCAAAATTTATGAGCATTTACTTAAAAGAAAAAAAAAACATTGGAAAAACTGAAGAGAGAAAGAGCAATTCTACATATGGAAAGCTATAAAGAACCACAGCGAATGTGCTGGATTATTGCTTTCTTAAAAAAACAAACCAGGCAGGCAGTTTGGAATGTGAGAGGCCTGTGTGAGGCCAGGAGGGCTGGGATCCAGGGAGGGCAGTGAGGGGCTCCCCACGCCCCCATCCTCCTCCATGGCCCCTCTGACCGCTCCAGCGAGAGACAGGGCCAGACAGAAAAGGACTTTACTGAAAACATTTCATTCAATGTCAAAATGCTCCTTCAGGAAAACAAAAAGGCCCAGGTAGCCCATCAGCATAGGCTGGGAGAGAATGCAGGGAACGCCGGGCCTGCTGGAGCTTCCCAGCC